AACAGTTCATCGTTCTCTTAGAGTAAGTTTTGCCGTGTTGATCGGGGAACTCTAGTGAATAACCGAAGGCGACCAAGTGCGCAGCCGTAACTTGTTTACCATATCGATTTTACCAGAGGGGTTAATTGCCACTAATTTTGCTCTATCAACTATTCGATGGATCCGGCAACCCACTTGATTTTTGCAGAAAGCCGAAGATAAAGATAAACATTTGTCACATTGCGTTAGCGCTGATACTTAAAATTTCATGAGACTCTTGAAAAAGGCGGCCTTTCTGTAAGGACTACAAGTAAGGAATAAAATTGCGAGGAATTAAATGACGCGCGTGGGCGTAACTTGGCGACTTAATGTCGCCAAACAGCATATAAGAATATGCAAGTACCAAGAACTAGTTCCTAGGCATATGTTTTCTTTACGTTTTTTTAAGGAAATGAAGCCGTTGTTTGGAAAACTCATTAACCCATGTTCCTTCCTCGCGTCTTTGTGGGAAGCGAAAGCGGACTTGAGAGACGAGCGAGAATCATCCCATAACAAACGATACTCAGTTGACACTTAGCCTAGTCGAGAACGAACATAACCTTTTTCGCTTGAGAATGATTCGTTCGTCGTTAAACTAAAAAGCGTCCCCTGTCGAATGCAAAATATTTTAAAATAGTTTTTGCTTCCTTTCTCTAATTTAGATTCTTTTTTTATTTAATTACTTTTTTGTATGAATTAGCTGTTTGAAGAACTTCAAGAAAAAAGGAATACTGGTCGTTCCAGTTTCAGGATCGTTTGTAATCCTCCATTAGGGTTATTTGCAGTTCAAGTTGGGAATCATTTGAAGTGTTTAATTATTTACAGTCATAGGTTCATTTGAAGAGGGGAAAGATTTTGCATGACTGACAAGGCCGATTTTGTATTTGTATTTAAATAAATGGTTTTGACCAGGTGAAATGGCTGTATAATTTAATACATATGTCTTACACGTAGCGTATTCTATCGGTATGCTGGATTTTTTTTTGTTTCCATCTTTACAACAAATGACTCCTTCTTGGCCATTGATAACAAATGCTAAGTTTGTATTCACTTTAGTTTGGCTAGGACGATTTAACGATCTGTGCGGATCGTCTAATGTACTCACGA